ACAGTATTCGAGATGAGGGTGTACCATCGATTTATATAAGGGCAATAATATATTCTCAGTCTTATTCTCTATCCCCTTTTTAATGATTCCTAACATCCTGTTTGCTTTTTTGACCACCTCTGCACACTGCGTGGACATCTTCAGAGAACTATCCACGATGACTCCAAGATCTTTTTCCTGACTTGTTGTAGCTAAATTAGCCCCCATCATATTGTATGTATAGTTGGGGTTATTTTTTCCAATGTGCATTACTTTACATTTATCCACATTAAATTTCATTTTCCATTTTGTTGCCCAATCACTTAGTTTTGTGAGATCTTTTTGAAGTTCTTCACAATCTGCTTTGGACTTAACTATCTTGAGCAGGTTAGTATCATCTGCAAACTTTGCCACCTCACTGTTTACCCCTTTCTCCACATCATTTATAAATAAGTTGAATAGGATCGGTCCGAGGACTGACCCTTGGGGAACACCACTAGTTACCCCTCTCCATTCTGAGAATTTACCATTAATTCCTACCCTTCGTTCCCTGTCTTTTAACCAGTTCTCAATCCAAGAAAGGACCTTCCCTCTTATCCCATGGCAGCTTAATTTACATAAGACCTTGTCAAAGGCTTTCTGGACATCTAAGTACACTATGTCCACTGGTTTCCCACTAAGTTTCGTTGATGCCAACAATGTCATAGTTGTACTTATTTATTAGCACTTCCAGTTCTTCCTGCTTATTACCCATACTTCTCGCATTTGTATATAGGCATCTAAGATCCTGATTTGATCTTGCCTCCCAGTTTTGTCCTGACCCTCCTTTCTCTCTGCCATTATAGCCCACGCTCCCTCCTATTTCTGACCCATCTTCCAGGTCTCCATGTTCTCCACTTACCTGTGGGCTTTGCTCACCTATCCCCGTCGAACCAGGTTTAAAGCCCTCCTCACTAGGTTAGCCAGTCTGTGTTCACAATTGGCTTATTGTTTTATCAAGACCATAGCCAATTGGCGTAAGGTAGAGCAATCCCTAAACTGTGTTAATATATGCTGAAGGGGCAGAGCTGGTGCAGATGCACCATAAGAACCAAGAAGGGGTAATTTACTGTTTGACAGTCCACTTCCCCAGCACTGAGCAGATTCAGTGGACAGGAGAATCTGGGCAGCAATCCGTAAAGATACACAGTCAAAGCTGATAGTCCTAAAAATTGACCTGACCATTCTCCTTGTGTTATATTGAAGGATTTGACCCAAGGAATACAGGTACGTATGTTTTCCCCATCTAATAGTTCATATCATATGAGAAGTGAAACCAAAGCAGACGTGACTTACAGTGATTCTCATTAGACAGAGTTTGCATATGATTTCTTATAAATAGTGCATGTTGTTTTACTTTTCTTGTCGCATTAGAAAGTTGCACACTTGCTCTTTTTTCCTCCTGTTTTTATAAGGCTGTAATTCTTAAGGTTATATAAAGTCTTCAGTGTAAAACCATTGTCCAGGTAGTCCAATATTTAGGGTTTGAATATATCTTTTAAAATACATTGCAACTGACAGGATTGTCCTGTTTTAATTTGATATGTAAACCAGGCTGATTGCACATACTTTTGTCTCACTCAGTAAGGACCATTGTGTATGTATGACACACTGGTCTGCCTTCAGGGGTGGGGTAGAGTTCTTCTGTCGACCTGGAGGTGTGTACATTGCGGCTTAGGTCGTCTTAATTAACTTTTCACATCCTTGAGTAATGTAGCTAGGTTGACCTAAGTTTTAGGTGTAGACCAGGCCTCTCAGGGATTGTGCCTCAGGAGGCATAGTTCCTCCCAGATTTCCTTGACTGACATATGGTAGCTCTGACAGCGCCATAGAGTGCCAGCCAGTGCTAGATGGTGGGACTTTTGCCTTGCTTCCTTCCCATCCCCCTTTGGGTGATTTGCACTGCAAGGGTTGCTAGTATCTTCAACCCCCTTTACCCCAAGCGCAGTGTCTGCTTTTGTGTCTGGCCCTTGTGGAGGAGTTCCAAGGATGGAGAGAGGAGCTTCCTTGCACTTTTGCCCTCCACCCCCTGAATCCATACTGGGGATATACACAATCTGGCCCTTTTAAAAATCCAGGGGGAAAAAATCCCTGAGTTTCATTATACACCTCTACCCTGATATAACGCTGTCCTCGGGAGCCAAAAAATCTTACTGCATTATAGATGAAACCGCGTTATATTGAACTTGCTTTGATCTGCCGAAACGCGCAGCCCCGCCCCCCTGGAGCGCTGCTTTACCACATTATATCAGAATTCGTGTTATATCGGGTTGCGTTATATCAGGGTAGAGGTGTATTTAATTTACAAGTGTCCAACAACATTTAATTCAAAGATTCATATTTATTCGTGTATTTTTCTACAATATTTTTTATCTATTGTATATAATAAGAATTCATGAACTCTTGGTGTACGGCTCTGTAACAGGGTCCACGTCCCCGCCCTCTTCCTAGGGCCCGCTTGCTGCCCGCAATCAGGCTCAGAGAGACTTCAGGGTTGTGCAACACCCATGTCTTTATTTACTTAACTTCATCCCACCACCAGTGTCCATCTATGTACAAGTTTTACAGGATTACTCTCCTCCTTTACAGGAAGAGCCAACCTTCTGCTAGGAGACCTCCAGTTCCCTCCCTGGCTGCCCCCCTGCCTTCTGGCTCCCTCCCAGCCTTTATAGCCCTTGGCTTGTCAGGCCTGCAGGTGTTGCCAATCCTCAGGCCAGCATCAGGCCTTTTCCATCAGCCCCAATCTGCTTCCCCTGATTGGAGCTGACTGGGCAGGGGCTAATTAGGTGCTTTAAAAAAAGGAGAGCATATTTTCATAGATTTATACTTTCCAAGGCCAGAAGGGACTATTGTGATCATCTAATCTGATTTTTGTTTAACACAGGCCATAGAACTTCCCCAAAATAATTCATAGAACATGTCTTTTTGAAAAACTTCTAATCTTGATGAAAAAATTGCCTGTGATGGAGAATCTGCCACAACCCTTGGTAAATTGTTTCAATGATTGATTACCCTCACTGTTAAAAAAATTATGCTTTATTTCCAGTCTGAGTTTGTCTAGCTTCAACTTTCAGCCATTGGATCATATTATACCTTTCTCTAATAAACTTGAAGAGCCCATTATCAAATATTTGTTCCCCTTGTAGGCTCTTACAGATTGTAATGAGATCACCCCTTAATCGTCTTTGCTTAAGCTAAATAAATTGAGCTCCTTGAGTCTATTGCTATAAGGCATGTTTTCTAATCTTTTAATCATTCTTGTGCTTCTTCTCTGAACCCTCTCCAGTTTATGAACATCCTTCTTGAATTGTGGACACCAGAACTATACACACTATTCCAGCAATGTTTTCATCAGTGCCAAATACAGAGGTAAAATAAACTCTCTTTTAATGTTACAGAATACAGAAACCGAACAATACAAGCTTAGGTTTGTCTTGCTGTAAATATATTTAGTATTATGCAACAAATAATTCATCATTTCAGACTTACTGATTTCTTACTATTTAGTGCCTTTCCACTGACTAGGATAAACTTGTTTTGGCTCACTGAACACTCCTGTGCACTTCAGCATAGTAAACACAAGTAATGTACAATAATACAACCAGCATAGAATTAGATGCAAATAAGTGCAGTACATTTTCTCTGCTCAGAATAAGATAGCTACAAATATGCTATTTCTCAAATTATTTTGTTTTAAGTCAAACATTGTGATGTTGATCAGCAAATACCTACTGAACTGCAAGTAATTCATTACATTTAGATTAAAAATTACTCAGTTAGTGATATGACCTTGTGAGGCTTACTTTTCCATAGTACAGCTATGGAAGCATCATGACAGAACAATTACCCCTTCACTTTCATTTTGTGGAATACCCAATGTATTCATTCACTGCCTTATTATTGAGAATAAATGTAGATAATTAAAAACTTGCAATTTAGAAGAGAAATTATTATAACACACTCAAGGGATAATAACTAGTTTAACTTACTTTTTCTTAAGCTCTATGTTTATTCCTCCCTCAGGCATCCAGGACAGGCTCTTCCTCCTTTTTTTTTTTTTTGCCTCAGGAGAAAACATCTATCCAACCACCAAAATATATATACCAAAATCAACATTTAGTTGAAGGACTAAAATGCAATTTAGTTTACTCACATACTACTGGCACACATGCATGCTGAGTTTGTGCTTAAAACTCAAAGACTTTATATACTCAAAAATATCCACTCTTGCAATATCTCATTTATTTAAATTAAACATTTTAATTTCACTTTTAAAAATAAAATATGTCAGCAGTCTGCTAGTCCTAATTTGAGATGATCAGGCTCAAAAACCTTTTAGAAAATGTGACTTTGAGTTTTTTGAAATATAAGTGTCTTAGAAACAAATTTTAGGGTTTTTTTTACTACAGTTTTAGCACTCGAAAACAGCCACATAAATTTTCTTAATTTTTCTCCACAGAAAATTAAATTCTAGGCTAATGTCTTGTACAAATTTCAGCCTGAGGGAAATATTCACAACAAAGTTAAAAGAATATTTTAAAAGTAGTGGTTAAGGGAGTATTGAGGTGTGGGAGGTTGTATTGTAGAAAGAATAAAACCGTCTTAATTATAATGGCACAAACACAACCGCTAAAATCATGAAACCTCTGTTCTGAAACAGCATTTAGTGTGATATTAGGTTTTGGAATATAGCTCTCATTCCTGTACTCAAGAATTACTGTCTGTAGTTTATTTGTTAGCATTTTCCTTGCAGTGATTGTTAAGTGCCCTGGCATATTTGCCACTGTCTCTATTTTCTATTTATTTTCTCTGTTTCACCTCTGTTCTTTTCTAAAAAAATTTCATCATCTTGTTTTTCTGCTTTCCCCTTTTCTCTGAGCTTTAGCTACCTCTTCCTTGAAGCCTCTCTAGCATACTTGATTACTTGGAGGGTTACATGTCTGCCTCTCCTCACAAGTTGAGAGGCATAATTTCTGATTTGGAAGGTGGAAGATCTTTTTCTTTGATGTTGATATCAGTATTTTCTGTGAGAACTACTCTTTTGAAGAGATAGAGCAGACTGTGATACTCTAATGAATTTTATGTTCATTGAATCACTAAGAGACTGGGGGGACATGGATCAGCATTCACATTACACTCCCGGTCAGTACCCCGTGCAAGCCGGGGAAGCTAATGATCCAACCAGCCCACCAAATTTGGTGATGAATCCTGGTCACATGCCACCAGAGGCACATTGCACATATGCTAAGAAGATTAAGAGACTTCATTCTTCTGCACAGAAGTATAATGCATTGCTTGCCTAACCAGCTTGTAATTCAGAAGCTTTTATAGAATTATAAAACCTAATATGAAGAGAATACAAAATCCATGAAAAATGTCATAGTGCTTTAGATGTAACAAAATATGTGATATAGCATTAGTCTTCATTCTAGAAATGATAGTAAAAGAACTTTTTGATCAGATTTTCTGAAATGGATATTTTATATCTTGTTACCCAACCCCAACGTTCTTTAGATAATTTGAATTATTTGGTGGTGAGCTATCACAGTGACAGGCATCTTAAAAATCTAAGAAAAAATTTGCACAAGTAAAGTACAGAACTTTTCTGTTATACATACACATTTTGGATATGAAAAATGTTGCTATTAAGGGTGGCCTTCTCATGTCTAAAGTAACAGAATGTAATATTGACTTCTTAGAAAATTGGAGGTATGGCTGTGAATTTCATTTATGCTGGCTGCAAATTATTAATACTGTAATAATAGCAGGCCAGCATATGATACTGGTACCCATTAAAAAAGCAGTTGCTTTGACACTCTGACTGACTGACTAAGAAAATAGCAGGTTTCAGCATTACTCTTGAGAAATGGGAAGCAGCGGAGCCTTAGAATATCTCTTTAAATCAGTGACTAGTGTGGCAATTTCTTGTAATTTTTGGTTAAAATTAGTCACAGTTGATCCATTCCACCATGGTTAACAACACATATGGAAATTATCTAAAGGGAGAGCAATATAGGGTTGAAAGACTGCATCTTTTGTTAGGACTATATAGACAATATCCTCAACAAGTGTAAATTGACACAATGCCAGTGAAGTCACCAGCTAAAGATTTGGCCCTATTTTTTTTCTTATTTATACAGGACAAGATTCTATCACCCATACTGATGCTGAGTAGTGCCTTACTTGATGAGTAGTCCTATTGACATTTCAGTGGAATTACTCACTAAGATACTAGTCAGTATGACTAGGGTAGCAGAATCTCTCCTCTATTTTTTATAGAATAGTAAGCAAGTAGAGAAAAATAATTAAATGAATTAATGTATGTAAAAAACCTTGATTTAAAGGCAGTATAATACCACTGAGTAATGAACATATTTAAAATATAATTTATGATTTTGACCGATAATAAAAACTCTTTAATCTCAAAAATTAAAAAAGTATTTGCAGATTAAAAATAATGTGCATTTTACATTTACTTAAGTCCAGCTGTCTTATCTGACTTCATTTGACCACTTTATTGTGAATGGTTATATTTGCAATCAAAATATAACCATAAATAGAGAGTCTGAATGTCTATCTCCTTCATTAATGAAGAGGAAGAGAAGAGGGGGTGGGGAGTATAGCTGGAAAATATTTAACAAACCAGGAATGATTCATCATCAACTGATGGATGAATGTAAACATGGGGGGAAATTTGCAAAAGAAAAAATTAAGTTAAATGAATATTACATAGGTACATTGAGATGACTGTGAGAATACACTGTCCCTAAAAGCTGGAACAACCTATGGGAAATAATCAAGAAACAATAGAGGTTTCTGTTCATAAACAGTTTTGTTTTAGGGCCTGATCCTGAGAAATGCTGAGCAGCCCCAATTCCCATTGGATGATCTTTGATTGCATTACAGACATGGTTGGACAAGACAGTACTACAATATAATTATAAAAGGATACATTTCTAGATAAGGGAAGCTCAGCTGAGGGCAAAGTAATTTGTAAAAACAAATATTCACAAGTACTGAAATTCACATAGGTGGCATATAAAGAAATAACACTTTCACAGGTTAAAATGAAGGATGCATAAATCATGAGGGATTTAGGATGTAGGCATGTAATATGCTACTTAATCTGAGATTAGGAAAAAAGTATTACTTACGGATCTGATACTAAGTGTGTGAAAATTTAAAAATAATTAAAAGAGGTATTTTAATTACATACAAGAAACTTAACAAGTTTTTTCAAGTAGGATACAAGAGGATAGTCTCTTATGGTATTTCAATAACTGAAAGAAGCAATGAGGCCCAATGAAATCCTGGATCTGATATTGACTAACAAAGAGAAAATGGTAACAGCTCTGAAAAAAAGGAGGGAATTTTGGAGGTTATGATCAAAAGCTTACAATATTTCTGGTGCAAGTGATGAGATACAGAAATGGGTAACCATATTAGGAAATGAGGTAGAAGGAAGATGGGAGAGTTTAAAAAAAAAGTGGAAACCATGTAGGCAGTTACAATAACACTGCAACAAAATATGAAGATTTTTTTTAAGACATGGCTGAAAGGATGGTTGGCGAAAGAAGTGAAATTAGTTAAATAAAAAAAATTATGAGAAATGGAAAAGAACAGAGATTGAAATTATTACATTTAATCTTACCATCATATAAATGCAGATATAAAATAAAGGGGGAAAAAAACAAAAAGCCAAAACCAAGAACAAAATGATGCTGGCTGGGGAAGCCCAGTGATAGAAGAAAAGTTTTTTAAAAAATATATTCAAAATATAGACATATTTTTAAAAAGGAACTGCTAGAAAACAGAAAGAAGCAAATAAGAGTTCCACAAATAACCCAGAATTTTAGTTTTTCTTTTGTTTGCAGTAGGGTATACTGACTAAAAGAAAATCTGAGCTTTTTGTCCAGAAAATGGGGAATTTATTAGAGAATATAGCTGGAGAGGCCATAAACAAAAGGGTAACCAGAGAAAAATATAGAAAAGCATCTGAAAAATTAAGGTCCAGATTCCCTGACCCTGTTCTAACCATTTTGCGCCATGCATGCACCACAAAGTGGCCAGAATCTGACTAACTAGCCAGTTGAGAATTCTGCTACAGAGCAGTTGCCCTCACAGCCCTGGCATAAGGGGTATGTTCAGGACATGACACAGTGTTCCTGCACTCCAGCAGTTTTCAGCTGCATATGATTCCTTAGGGACCATAGCCAACTGGCATAAATTAAAGCAGCCCATAGGCCGCACATGGCATATTTGACCATGGTCTGATATTAAAGTGCTAGTGGCAAAACATCAATATAAAAAAATGACCTCATCCTGCATACTACTACTATAGTTTTTCCATAAATTTTAAAACAGGGACA